AAAATAAAATAGATTAACCAGAAATTAGTTAAACTGAAATAAAAAATGTGATAACATGAAATAAAGAAAAAAGAAAACAATAAAAAAAGAATTATTAACACTTTTAAGCGATTTTCACAAGCTTCCGCCATTTTGTGCCCCTAATTACGTTTAACTCATTATGAAGACACAAAGTTCAACGAAATTGTACTTTCTAACATAATGAAGTGCCATTCAACTGAAAACTGCGGATGCATTTATTATAGCAGTTCCATTGTTTTCATGGCTTACCGCATTGACTTTATCATTTTATTACATTTTTTGAACGTCCCCTATGTATAGCATATTGTCAATCATAATTAGTTGCTCCGCTATTGAAACATATCACCATTGTTAGGGCTTACCGACTTTAGGCGAAATCATAAATTGGTCACGCCTCTAAATTTTGCAATATCACAGCCGAAAATTGAAAACATAATTAAATAATATCCACGTATCTACATATTATGGAAGGGAACCCCGAATGTTGTTCATAACCAGAATAATCAAATTCATATTCATTACTCATAATTACACGAGGGAATTAAATATTTTTCAAGTCGATTATTCTCATATGTTTGCGCTTATGCTCTGTATTATGTATGTGCGTATTTGCGTTTGTGCGTTTATGCGTTTGTGCATTTGTGCGTTTATGGAAGGAAGTATACACAGCTGTATGGATACTTGTGACAACCGGAACATAGTTGACAAAATCTACTTACAAATTTTAATGCGTCTAGCACTTAATAATTTTGTAATAAAGTCATTTATTCTTGTTTTTTTTTCACAAAAAAAAAGAAGAAATTAGTCACGCCCCTCATCACATGAATGAGTGGATGAGCCTTTTATAGCACAACTGCAATTGACACATTTTGGCTTGGTTAGTTCGCTGTCAACACTTATGAATATGACTATGTAGTTGTCAACTGATTGTGATAGTTTTGTACGTGTAGATGAATAGATTTTGCTCTACTTCAAGGTACCAAGAACTACAAATGTGAATGTTATGTTTAATGCTCGTTATACTCGTATTTTTGCCAAAAATATATTGTCATGCTTCCTTTTTAATGGGCGTGCAAGAGCACTTCAAAAAATGTGTAACTGTCAGAAATATCACTTTCTGCTTGTCAACAATACTTTTTGAGCAGTGAGTCTCGCAATTCATTTTTCCACGAAGGTTCTAATACAGTCCATCTATAATCGGAAAGAGCAATGCCTGGAATTTAATTTCGTGTTGTCCGCAGTAATTAACTCGGTTGTTCTCTATTTAAACTGTGACGAAATGTCAAAACTGCTTTGGGAGCATTGCGTGTGAGTGTGCAGTTTTTACTTGTGAAAACTCCTGAACTTATCGCTTATCTAAATGCAAGTACTATATAGCTAATCAGCTTATACAGTGATTATCGTTAAAAATATACTTAATATCGATGAAACTATAGCATTTGAATAATTATTTCAGGGAACAGCTCAATGGCACTTGGTACATTTGAAAAGATAGACCGTATTGTGGACGAATATAAAGAGTCCGATTGATTTTTAATAAGAATTAAGATTAACTCTCTAGTTCTTAACAATGCCCTAAAGCAATTTCAAATTAAGCTGCTGTGATAATATCAATAAACGTTACAATTAAACCATAAGTAACTTAATTTTTTGTGAAATCCACAAATTTTAAATAAATTATGCTGAATTTGATTATGATGATCTTAATTTAATATTGCTTATTAACTTTAAAATTAACTTCAGTAAATTTTTTAAACAGAAAAACAAACTTGGGAACCAAAGGGTTAAAATGTTATTTTCAATGCTAGTTACATAATTCTCTATTCCTTGATTAATTTGTTTACATATATTCTTTATTTCTGTTAATTGAGTTTCATATAATCTTTCCTTATAACTGAATTCACATTTTAAACATTATATGGAGAAGAAAAGATTAGTTTAGACTTTGATACCACTTTAAATTTATTTATTTGGTTTGAAAAAGAGGAAGGGGACAATGGCATCTAGATGGCACCTCTAGATAGTTACCTGACACCCGTTGGTAAATGAAGCATACAGTATGTCTTATCCCCAAGACATCTAGAAAACTTATAGATTTTACATATAATAGCTTGCAGTAATTTGTTAAACTGCTTGATTAAAAAACTATATTTTACCTGATTTTGGAAATTATTTGTGGAAATGGTTGATGAAAAAATTATATTTAACCTGATTTTTGAAATTACGCCTTCGCTCCGGACTGTTGTACCTCAACAGAATTTTTTCGGAGATGGAAGAGCATTTGTTTGTTGATCAAATGCAACAATGTTTTCTTATCATTGTTGAAGTATATTAATTAACCTGTTTGTTTTTTTATAACAAAAATATATATAAGAATTGTTTCCTTTAGATATGCTGCCACTACTATCTAGATTCGTTGGTAACAAGCCATTGTGCATTCGCAAATATAGTTGATGGAATTACTATTGCCTTTTGTACTTCAATTTCTGGTATGATTTCTTTTATAGTCACTTCGAAATACTCCTAAATTTGTAACTTAAATTTGCGCAAAATGTTTCGTGTACCTTATGCATATATACGAATGATAAACACAATCACCTATTAGTTACAAAATAATACAAAAAGGACCAAAGGCCGCTTTACCAATAAAAATAAATTCAATTTATTTTTATATATCTAAAAAGCATACGTTATAATTCAAAATTTGTATATACATATTAAGGTGTTTTCAAGTTGTACCTAACTTTCAAAAACGTTGCGGTACGCCTTATTTTTAATATTCTTTCTCACTTTTTTCCATTTCTTTAGCTTCTTCACTAAGGTACTAGAAAATAATATAACCAATCTGGTTAATCTTACAAGATTTTCTAGACCACCCTATTTCATAATGATATTAGCATCTAAAAAAAAAAGCACAAACGAAAAACTTTCATTAACTAAATTCAACAATAATATTTAACAGTGTAAATAATTAAAAAGCTCTTACAAATGCTAATGACAATTAATTATATTGAGGCAATCAATTAACTTTTTACAATAAATTAAAATGTAGCCCGCATTCCTCCTATTAGCCCCTATTAACATTATCCACCATCTTGAATAAAAAAAGCCAGAAAAAACAATGACATTTACTCAAAGAAAAACAATTTATTGATTGCAGTGTATACGAGTGTAACCAGTTATATAATTTCACTTAACTTCAAATAAATTCAGTAGAATAACAAACACAAACACAAAGCCAACAAAAACAATAGTAAACAAAAATAGAAAAAACAACAAAAACAACAAAAGGAAATGACTACACTCGCAAACAGGCCAAAGGGTGGCAACGAAAGCCATTTAGACACTAAATTAAATAGACATTTGCATGCAAAGCTAAATACTTTTATAATTGAGAAAAGCGTAGAAGGACAAAAAGCACACAAACAAACAAAAAACGAAAATTAAACGCAAAAGAAAAAATGAAAAGAACCATTTTTAAATAAATAATGGAATGTGCCAAAGAAAAAACAACAACAGCAACACACTTGGCAAGTGAAAAGTAAAAAGTTAAAAGGAACTGAAACTGGAACTGGAAGAACGCAAATAAAATGCCAATGACTAAAAGATAATGGATAACGGCAGAAATTTTAAGTTACAAAGTCTAATAAACAAATTTGATTTACTGCAATCAATATATGTATATGCGTTCCCCCGTAAATCTCACAAATCCTCTTTCATATCGATTCTCCATCTTCATTACCAACAACAACAAGTTAAAAATATTGAGAAGAAGCCATATGTTAAGACAATACTATATATACACAGAAATCTATATATATGTATATACCAACCTACTCTGCATATGCACATTAACAGGTAGAAGAGCAAAAAGAACACGAGATCAAAAAAAGCACTGCAAAAAACAAAAGGCAAGAGCTTGCGCCATTTACAGCAAGCGGTTGACTACAACGACGACACCTTCAAAGTTAAATGCTTTCGCAAATTGCTAAAGTCAGCGCATACATCAAGACGAAAATAGCCGACAAAGAAAAACGGGATGGAAAACTAGACATCATTATTGATGACAATTGAGTGCGCAAACCAAAGCAAAACAAGAATGAAGCAGAAAAATAAACAGAAATAAATAAAACAAAATAATAAAAAGAAAGTTTGAAACCAAGAAGCTAAAGACCACAAAGAGTGCTTTTCTTCTTTTGTTTTTCTTTGGAAGCATTGAAAAATAGTCAAAGGGAATAATACTCAGCTCTCTGCCAACGAAACAGCAATTATCATAATTAAGATTGCAACCAAGTGGAAAATATACCAACAATCTGGTATACCCATAAACATGTTTACACTTATACATACACACAACAATACCAAATTATGTGTATACAGATAAATAATATAAATTTACCCCCAAAAGAACACAACAAACGAAACACAAACGAAACACAAACAGGAAAGAACGAGTGAATGGGCTAGCAAATAAGCAAATAAGTAAGTAAGCAAGTATAAGAACGCGTCAAACGTCAAATTGAAAAAATTAATGACGTTTTGTTGACAGCTTTAGGAGCGCAGTATATCAGTGTCAAGCGCACAATACTAAACTGCAGCTGCTCTAATAAGCGAAACAAGCAGACAAAAGTGGAGGGAACAATAAAACGTCATTAAATACAGTATTATGATTGGCTCATAGCAACACACTCATAGAAGTACACCTCAAAAACTATTTCAAGTTGGCTCCACCTTTTCACACTCACTCTCATGGCACATAATGACGTCATGCAAGCTGCTAGCAGCCAACATCAAACATCAAGCAGAAGCCACATGTATTTGTGAGAAGATTCAATAAATTTGCTCAGTGGTAGGAAACCAGTTTTTCATTTTTGCCTTATGCCCACTGTTTACTATCTGCCTGTACTCTTTGTTATGGCCCTGTTTAACGTTTGCCTGGCACATATTTTTAATGTTTTTGCAGTTGTTGCGCTCTCGCTAATCGTGTAGTTTGTCGGTGTCGCGAATAAATCAAGCGCTGTTAGCCATTTTTAACGTGTTTTCCCGACGCAAAACTGAATACAGAAACTTACACGTGCAATTAGCAACTCACGTTAAATTAAAAGCAAAAGAAGCTATGATTTTTGTTTGTGCTCTAACTGATCGTCACTCTGCCTAATAAATGCACCCGAACTACATAAATAAATAAAGTTTTGTTATAACTTAAAGCAGTTCTATGATTTATAAACCTATTAAAATAATTTCCTTAGCGAATATGATGCATTCCAATACGCCGCCACCTGTACCGCCGCGTACAAGCAGCCCAGCTATGTCAGAAATTTCAGTTGGATCCCCGAGTCCACCTATTGCACACACCCATCAAATGACAGCTTTTCGGCCTATTAATCCCAAACGTCTGCGTTTAACAAACGAACGTGTACAAACACCGATGAGAGCGAATAGTTTGGCTTCTGCAGCAACAATCTCCAGACGAAAATCTTGTGCAGAACGTGTGAAAAGCTTCTCCATAGACGATATTCTAGGACAAAAAACTGTATCAGACTCAGCATCAACTGAATCTCAAATAAATTCATTAGCTGTCTTACCATCACCTACAACCCCCGCACTAGCAGCTCCACAACTCTTAAACGAACGTTTACAGGTGCCACCAGCGCACTTAATGCTTGATGTTCCGTCCGCTCTTACAAAAATGCCACTACAAGCCTGGGATCCCATGCAGAGTAGTTTACCGATGAGACCTTTCTTTCCACCTGCGCTACTTCATTATGAGCAAAGACTCGCCTGGGATTACCAAAGACAATTGCAGGAACATTTTCAGGTACAGTTACTAAGGCAGATGAACATGGGCACAAATATAATTGCTTCCGAAGATGGTTCAGAGCTTTCTCGTTCTGGTTCAACTGGCAGTGATTGTTATTCTCCGGAAATAAATGTGAACGGTGATTCTAAAGTTACTAAAACAGATGCAGAAACAAACGAAGAGAGTGATAGTAACATAGAAAGTGATAAAAATACCAAGCAATCAAAGGGTGATGGAAGCAATACTGGAAAGAAATCCAATCTTGATACACCGCTAGATGCTCTATTTCAGTTATCAACGAAAAACTTTGATGAAGAACAAGGTAGGTGCAGAATCTAAAAAACTAAAATAATTAATGTGAGTCCGAATTCTTCAGCACACTAACCATCTAAAATAAATTATTAGAGTAAGACACTATTGTTAAGCAAAGAATTTTTATAATATATGTAAACATCCCATATCGGTATTAAGTGAGATTCCAATACAATTAATTTTAAGTATAATTTATTTAAACTTAGTTTTCCCTTACAATGAGATTTACTCACGTTTTACTGAAATGGCCATAACAAACCGTTACAGCGTTTCGGTTTGACGCAGCAAGTCTCTCTAGGTGCCTCTGCTAATTAAGTGCTTTCTCTAGTCTCGTACGTCAAACTACCGCTCAAACAAATTTTTTCACTGGAGCATCGAGAGAACATATATTTTCAAGACATACGCAACCCCGTGAAGTCGCTGACTGTTTATTTCATAGACTATATAAATATAATCGGTGCCAACTAGTAGAGGACTGACTAAAGATCTTAAGACGAAGTTTTCTCTTAAAAACTCACAATGCTACTTCATCATTCTAAGATAGAGTCCATGTTACACTGTTAATTTCACTTTTATTATCTTTGCATTTCGTATTACTTTATTTTTTATTCTAAGATTAAAAATGTTCCATGACAGATATTCTATGTAAGCTCACACAATTTCTGTGGTAGTTTTTATACCCAAATATGTTCTCTCTAATTCTCTGTAATACTCTGACAATAAGCGACGTTAACAGCTACATAGCCTTTATACTGCAAATATATAACCTCCAATTTGGTACATAGAAGTAAATTGGAAGTATTTAGGATAATATTTGCCCTAATAAGACTATTGACTATGGAGCCCTTTCGAATTTCCTGTAGTTCGAGTCTACCGGCGTTCGAAGAAGAGACACCGAAGTTCCTGTCGTGCCTATGTGTAGGCTTGTTAAGAACCATGCTTAAGCTATTGTGCACGCCATTCTGCCACATTCCTTTACACACTCGGCGATATTTCTAATATTAGTATCGGCCATATAATTGCATTTATTAATGAACGATTAAATGAACGATTATTTAACGACAATTACGAGAAATGTGGAATTAAAACGACTTTTTAACTAATTCAGGAGGATTCGTTGCTCCTTCCTTCCCCTTCACCATTTAAAGAATATATATTCTACGGAGTAACTGAAATCTATGATATCCCGGACACTAGTAACATTTTCAGCATCACTTGTTAAAATATAGTTCCAATTGCTTCACTTTGAGGACTTTAATCACGTATGACTCTGTCATTTGTCAGCTCTCTATGTTAACTCTCACCTTTTCAACTTTCATGTTAACGTAGAATTAAGCATCATTGACGATATCTATATAACTATCAACTGTCTCAATGTTTCCGATTTCATTGTTGTAAGCATTGCCAACATATTGGAAGTCACGGTATAGTTGATCGCTATTTGTACTGATACAGACAAAGATTAACGATTAAATAAAAAATTTTTAATAGTAAACAGATATATATTATATAATTATATAATTATTATATAATATATTATATAGATATATATTAAAGTAAATATCTGAATAAGTTAAGCATTTTTATAGCTGTGTTTTATATATATAAAATAAAGAACATACATAATATATTCACACTTAATCTTTACAATATATGCATACATGTTTGTCAAAAAGATCAAAATACCTTATCAGATTTCGCTATTCAACTCGCTATTAATAATTTTTGAAATATATCACTCTTACTATGTTTATAAAATTGATTTCTTCTACTATATATCTTTATAATTAATCTATTTATAGAAATGAAAAAAAAAGTATACTATAAAAAATGATATTTTCTGTTTGTGTTAAAAAACCTCCAACAAAAGCAGATTTCCTCTTTTATTTCGCGTAACTTTTACATTTCGATTAACCTCAATATCAGCTTAAGTATATCATCACCGAAGCACCGCAAATTATGACAGTATTATCAGTGTATATTACCTGTTCATCCAAGTGGTTTGTAATACATCATCGACATCATCGGCGTCAGCTCTTTCATTTCTTACTCTATTTGACTTACAGACGCAGTGCAGTGTACGAGTGTAATTTCATTGATCAGCGCCATTAGTTGAAAGCTGATCAATTGTTGTCATTATATTTTGATGAGATTCTGCTTAAAGCGTAAAAACAGTAGTGAGGTCAGCTGCCTGAGGTTGCTAAATCAATTTCTACCTTTCAGATATTAACGCATTACGGCATTGAGGAGCAGTTCAGCGTAAAGACGAACAGCGAATAACGTCATTATTGTGAGCAATAAAAACGGCACATAAAATCACCGCACGGCAATACTGAATACTGAATACTGACTGTCTTTATGAAATAATCACGTTTGTCCAACGAATCTTCCGTATGCAATTCTTTCTGTGCATTCCCCGATTTGATTACAATATGCATATTTTGGCGCATGCGTATCTCATTCGTCTCAATTCATAACTCGCTCGTTGGCTGAAGCTTAAGCCCCGAACTGCACTCCGCATTCCTCATTCCGCACTGCGCTGCGCTGTGCTACTGATAGAAAAGAAGCACATCGCCGGACGGCGTAATCGGGAGCTGTTGCTACAATTTAGCTAAGGCACAATTTATTTCTTGTTAAGCTTGGGACCTTACAATCGATCGTGTGATCGGTCGTTGATTGTTCAGCAAAAACGTGGCTACTGTGCTTGTTTTGATTGTTGTGATTGTTGTGATTGTGGTTGATGTTGATGCTGATGTTGTTTCAGTTGTGATGGTTTAATTTCGTTATAACTTTGTAATCAGTTTCGTTGAGGTAAATTGAATTTACGCAAAGCACGTACACACAAATCCATTGTGGCTTTGTTGCACCGCTGATGACTTATGATGTTATGATGTAAGCATCCATGCCTTCCAACCCAATTTAGTATGTTATCCAAGCTTATTTGAACTGCTAACGATTGATTTTGTGAAACCGGCGTCCACAATTGTTCCCTTTAATAAGTTGTTGTGGCGAGCATCAGCTACTGGATTTTAATATTTCATTTCACTTTAGATAGTTTCCTTTAAAGCTGTCTTTAGATGCTTTAGAGATTTTTATTATTATTAAATGAAGTACTCTTTTTAACTAAAATTCTTCAAAGCAATAGTAAAGCATGGAGTAAGAAACAATCCTTAGCGCTATTAGATTACGTGATAGAATTTTAGTGTTTATTATTTATTACAATTATTTTTGTGTCAGAGAAGAAAAATGAGAGCTAAAACCACATTTTCTCGAAAGTAGTAACGTAAACTAACCGAAAATAAACCGTTGTTTATTCAATAAAAAATTAACGCTCAGAAATGTTAAACTTCGTGGGAATTAGGAAAACCCAAAAGTCAATAGTATATTTCTGCAAGAAGTCTTTTCTGTACTCAGCAATACAACGATAGAATATTCACCTTTTTTATAGATATGTATACGTACCGTATTTATAGTTCTGATTACACAATTTTTAAAGTATTTATTAGTGAAAATTAGGTAGGATATATCAAATAATCTTACCCCCATACATCAGAAGATCGTACGTATTTACTTACTATGGCCACTATGACACAAACAGACCGATACACATTTTCTTTATCACTGATGAGCCCAGAAAAGTATATCTATGAGAAATATCTAGTGACGGTAAGCAAACAATATGAAAAAAAAATCTAGTTATCATATATTAAAGTAACTAAATTACAAATTAAAAATACACTAATAGAGAGTAAAAGTGCTCAACTGCACTGACTCAACTAGCCTCAACATAATAATATATTCAAAATAATTAATTTATGATGTATATTGATATATATTTCTTATTTTTATATCAATAAAACATTTTCCAAGTTTTGATACATATAAGAAATAACTCACTTTTTCCCAAGTAATTAAATTATCTCTTAATCCAAATTAATAACTTAATCTCACTTCATGAGCTGGTTCACAGATGTGCCCAGCATCAAGCTGTTGGAATTCGAATAGCATTTCCGGTTGTGAGACCAACCGACAATTATTACAACTCACTACACACATTAGTCAATTGAAAGAGTATGGGGTCCGCAGACTAAGTAGGGGAGCTGTAAGTACATAATAGTATTAACTGTTTAATAATATCTGCGTCAATTTTTCACTGAACATTAACCAACATATTTGTTGTAATTTTTATATCTGCGAAGCTGAAGCTTTTTATACCCAAGCTTACTACAACAACGAAAAATAGCAACAATCAACAATTGTATATTTACTTTTTTCCTTTTTGTAATACATTTGAACATATTATTACTTTTAATGTTTAATGATGATTTCCTTTTTAGTGTGAGACTCGAAGCGTATTGAGTGTGAATATGTATCTACGTATATGGTAGATACTACGTATAGATACTTTCGTACTGCGGTTAAAATGTAGTGCAATTTGCGAAGAAAAGCATAATTCAAGTACAATTCATGCATGCATTATGTGTTCAAAGATAAACTGGTAGATTTTCAATAAAGTGTATAAGTTCAATTAGCAACTTGTTTTGCGGTTAATTAACAATTGATCAAAAGGCGATAGCCGCAAGGAAGTCTCATACTCATACTCATACTCATACTCGTACTATGTATCTGCCAATGTATAGTAAGCTAATCCAATGATATTGTAGTGAAAATATTTTTTCATATTTTTATTATTTTTACTACACACACTTTAGATACTTTAGTAATGACTGAAAAAAATATGGGTTGTATGTTAATAGTAATAAAACAAATTGTTAATAATTTTTTCTGTCGTTGCTCAATAATTTGATTTTAATTTATGTTGATGAATTTTCTATTAAATTATTACCATATGCGATTGGGTAGGTAGGTGAGTATTGCACAATAAATCATCGATCTTATTATTCACGCCAGCACAAATATTCTGGTATGGAATTTTCACATGAAGCTTACCGTTGTGAAAAACTAAATTTGAACAAAAAATATTAACAAGATATAACTTACTCAAATACT